AATTGCAAAAGATCAAGCTATTTGCTCTTAGATTTTAGAGATTTTCGAGATTTTGAAAATTAAAAATTTTTGGCAGATTAAAAAGATAAAGGTTAAAGTATTTTGGGTTTTAGGTCTTAAATTTTATTGCATGTATGTATAAGTAATCATTTTATTAAAATATATTTTTTTTGTAATTATTAATATTTATATTTACGAGTTTGTTTGTGTTGATTTTAAAAAATAGATATAATTTATAAAAATAAAAAGTTTAAATGGGTGATATTATCAGTAAAGATAAATTTTTTTATGTTGAATTTATTTAAAAAGATATTTAATTATCGACTCAATTTTATTTTTAAATTTCTCATCAATCAAAGAATTTTAGAATATGGATATTATGTTTTTTGTTTTATGAGGGATATTGTTATCTATGATCTATTGAGAATACCATATAAGGTTAATATAAAAATCATCTACTAACTAATATGTTACTGTTAAACATAGATATATAAAATGTAAATTAATTGAAAATGAATACTTATATTTTGTTAATAGTGGATGAACAAGGAACATTTTAAGCAAAACGAAATTGATAAAGTTTGTAAAAAATTGTGTGACTATGTATCCACATTTGCATATCGATGATTGAGGATAACCAATCAATTGTAAATTTATATAATAGTTTCAAATTCTTTGTACTTCACATGAATGTATAGTTGTTAATTTTTATAAAATCATAATTTTTTCAATTAATTACAATCCCAATTATTTCAATTTAACACTATGATGATCATTTTTTTATATATAGTTTATTCAATTAAAAATTGTATCATTCACACAAGTAAGATTTTTTATTTTATTAATAAAAAAATGAAAACAAGCATATATACAACATTAAATATTAAATTTCAATTTAAAGAAATGAATTTATAACCTGTCAATTTATTTTCAAAATATAAACCTCTTTATACTAATAAATTGAATATCAATAATACATAATATATGAATGCTAACAATATGTATTACATTCTACATGCGTCCAGAAGAAGAAAAGTCAAAAGATGAACAATGGGCATTACATTTGTTTAACCGCTTTCATATATAGTCCTTTCTATATGCATGTGACAATGCAAAGAAAAACTCTACTTTATGATTTTCTTTCAATATATACTCACCAACAGCGAGCATTTCATTAGTCGAGAAACCGTCAAGTTGCATAATTTTATTGAAAAGTGATATTCTTCTATCATTACTCTTGGCTTCTTTCATATCCAACTCCTAGATTGCTTATGTGCTAAATCAATTTAGCAATTGGTCCATCTTTACTCCTATAACGCTTATTGCCTAATAATGTCCTAGTCGATGTTGGAGTAACTGAACCAATTTTTTCTTTGTCTTCTACTTTCACTGTATTTCCTTCATGATAGGGATCAAATTTTGAAGAGAAATAAATATCTTTAATAGCATTCATTACTTTAATAACATCAAATGTTATTTCAGTTTGTTGACCTCTTGCTCTGTCGGTTTCAAAAATCATTTTAAAATCATTAAAGAAAGTTAAAGGTTTGTTCCTTAACCCTTTAACATATGGATGACTCTATATAAAAGTTAAAATAAATATGAATAAAAAAATTAATAGAAAAAAATAAGTAAGTTAGGTGATAATTTAATCTTAAATAACTTACCTGAACCCATTCATCAAAAACTAGTTTCTCAACTATGATACATTTATCTTGATCATTTTATCTTAAATCCACTTGTATTTTTCATTTCACAAATAACATGATATGTCCTTTTAGTAGTTTAAACTTTGACTCGACATAGGGGGTGGTTTTAAGTTGGAAATTGAGAATGAGTTACTCAAGCATTTTTTTAAGATACTTTAGATATCCAACATGGAATATTCTATTATTCGTTCTTTATTTAGGATTATCTGTCAATAAATGTAGGTATTGAACAAAATATGAATCTTTTTCTCTTATCCATGAATGGTTACTTACCCTCAAACTTTATATTCTTTTTTTGGATGGGTCTTTTACAAATTAAGAAGGATTGGCACGAGATAAAGACATGTTGATTTCCTAATCACATGGTTAGACATCATGCAGTAATATCAATATAGTAAATCAAAAATACAAAAAGAGTAAAATATCTGTATTAGGACATGAAGTAAACTAATAGACATGAACAAAAAACAAAGATTATTAAAAACGATTGTCATATACATTGTACACTTAACAAGAATATATATCAAATAAATATATATTCAACAAACGTAAAAAATAAATTGTACACTCAATTATATGGTACAAAAATAAATTAAACCAAGCAAATATGATAAGAAACAAAAATTTATAATGTCCTTATCCCCGATATTGTAACCAATTTGTAAACATGTCCTATGCTAGATTGTCTCTATAATAAGTCTAAGATTCAATTGGCTTAACATGCGTAATTAAATCTTGATGTTTAAATCCATTTGGTTAACTACTACTTCCTTCGGTAATATCACCTTCAATATGGTCAATTATCGTCTTAGACCTAATAAAATTACAGAGAAGACAAAAAGTAGAAATGATTCTATACTGTGTCTTTATTGAATAAAATTACTTTTTTCTTAACATTGCCTATCTAGCTTTCAATATGCCGAAACATCTCTCGATGCAATTTATTCCTTGAAAGTATTTCATATTAAAGTATTCCTATAGGGTATGTGGTTAGAGTCCTGGCCTCTAATAATTAAGATAGTATCTTTGACCTCTATAAGGTGTCAAAAAATATTCTCAATTTATGTACTAAGTATCACACAAATAGTGATTACCTATTATAGTGGAATAATATTAATGCACAAAAAAAGGTGTTTTATTGTAAACAATATCAAAATATTAAAGATACTACTTTGTAGGATCCTTAACCCATTTCTGTATTTAATGGTATCCTTAGCACTCTACCATCTGCTATAAAACCATCTCATCTCGATAGAATATATATGAATTACATATATAAGGTACAAACGCTAAGGACATTGATAGCAAATTCATTTTTCTTAATTCTATATGTAGGCCTATCAATTGCATCTACATTGATCTTGATGTATATCTCATTTAAGGCACCCCAACAACTCATTAACCATTTTAATCTATTATCTATTGAATTTTCTAGTATCGGTTTGAGTTTTTTAAATAACAAGGTATGCATTTTTAAAACAAAATTCAACACATAATGGAATTATCTATTAATTGTCTTTTCAAATCTAGCTACTTAACGTTTCATATTCTTATTTTTTGTATGATGGGTAAAGATGCGGAGAAAGTTAATAACTATTTCTTTTATTGACATATGTCTAAATGCCTATAATTTTTTTTAAGTTTGAAGTAAATGACATAATTTTACAAAAGCTCTCTTATCCATTTAGTATTATCTACACATTGTTTATTACTATAAAAATCATTGCACTTAAGTTTATCTTTCTAATATGTAGCTTATCATAAAAAGATTTTAGTATAAGATACTTTACATCATTTTTCTAAGTTTCATTGCAGTTAAAGTCATAGCAACAATAACTAACACATGCAACAACGTCTCTATCTAGTTCAAATGCAATATAAGCATTATAACTAATTACATTTTCTTTCTTGGTGATAAATAAGCTGCAATTGCTTTTTTTTTTTTTAAATCCTCGTTAATGTTGAAAATATTATTGAAAACATTACTGAAAATCAAATATTTGCATATGGTAAATGGTACTATCACACATCTAAAACAAAACATAAACCAATAACAAAACATTTTTGGATGAACAAGCTAAAATCAAAATGAATAACACATTTGATATATCAACATATTTTGAATTAAGACCTAAACGAGATCTAAAAAAATTAAAAAATAAAATATTTAAATGCAACAAATAATGTAGAATAGATTATTAGGTAACAAATAGTAGACACACCATTGAAAAAACGTAGATAAACCTAACAACACAAAGATTAAATCACAGACGTTAAAGTTGATGTTGGTTGAAATAAAAAAGTATTTACTTAGAATTATGTTAAATGGTATTTGTTATTAAAATATAACGAAGACATCAATTGCAATGTTTTTTTATGTAAAAACATCATAATAACTATTAAAAAAATATTCTTTTAAATTTAATTAAACATTATAACGTTCATAATGTCATAAACATGATTTTCGAGAGAAAAAAATTTAAAATCCTCAATTACAACGTTAACCAAAGGTAATAAAATTTGGACCCTTTGTAGCTTGCTACGCAGGGCCACCATCCGTTGCTGAATCACTACTTGACTTTGCTAAGCTTAAATCTGATGACCTTGAAAAGATTATAAAGTTAGGACGGCCAGGGAAGTCCACAATGAGACCGCTTTCGCAAAGTAGGATAGCATCGGATGACGTTTCTATGTGGTAAATGTCATAATAGCTAGATAAAAATGCAAAACCAATATTATATAATTACGATGTATGTTTAAGAGAAACGCCGTAATAGTTAAATTATTGTGTTTTATTTAAAAGAAAAAAAGTAAAAATTACTAAAAAAAAAAGACATCATAGAATATATGAAATTAAGAAAAAAAGTACAATTTATTGTGTTTTAATTAAAAAAATGTTGTAAAAAATTTTTTTCACTTTAGTTTCAGACTTATTTTTTAATAGAGTAATATATTATAAATTTTTTATTCAAGTTAAATATAAAACTCAAGTAATTTTTTGCTTTAAATCTTAAAATATCATAAAAAATATAAATTTTTATTATGAAACTTTGAATATTATTAAAAATCTAATATTTTCCTTAAATTTTGGATAACTGCGAACTAAATATAAAAATCAAATATTCAAAATTAAATTTGTAAAAAAAAAAAATTTAGGTTCTTAACTAAATGCTCCCTTTAAAGAAAATTACTTAATACTTATCATTGAATTCTACTTATCCATGACACAGAAAGGTACTTCTTCTTTTTAAATTTGCATTAACAATTTTGAAAAAAAAAAAATCAGAAAAGGCCAATATTTCTTCACCTACTTCTCTAGATTTCAGGTCCCCGTTTTTTGTTCCCGCGTGCAGTACACGTGCGAGAAGTTAATGACTTCCAATTTTTTTTCTCTTTTAATTTATTTCAAGTTTTAGATAAGAACTTGGAAAATTACAAGCTCTGACATAAGTCCCAAATTTATATACGAAGTTGTGGCATACGAAGAGCCTCTCCTTTGTCCCCCCTTCCTCAAAAAATCTCTTCCCAAAAATCCCAATTTCTATTTTTTGCAACTTTCAAAATTCTGTTAAAATTATTTTATTTTTAAAATTTTTTTATTTTACATATTGGGAATCTCTATCAAATGAAGTATGTAAATTACAAACTTCAGCTTACCAACCTCATTACATTTGCAGATGGAAGGCAATGATAATTCCAACCCTAAGGTATTCTTTATTTCCTCCTATCTTTCTCTTTTCTCTCTCTCTTTTTTTTTTTCTTTTTTTAATTTTAGTTGAGAAGAAATTTATTTGACTTCATTTTTCTTTGCTACTCTTTTTTTTGAAATCTGGGTTCTCTTTAGTTTATTTTGTTAATGCATGATTGAATTATGTTTTGGGTTGATTTTTTTTTCAGTCATGTTTTATCTGACTTTGTTAGAAATTAGTGTTATTTCACAAGTTAGAAGTTTACTAATGGAACTGTTATTGTTGGCATTGGAAATGTTGTTGAATAGAAAATTCTTTTTGTGAAATAATAAGAAGGAAGAACTGAGAAATTAAAATAATAAAAAAAATAATGATGGTGGGTTTAGTTTAATTGCTGGAAAAATATTGCAAACGATAGATTAGAATATTATTTTCATTTTTTTTATGAGAATTGTCAATTTATATATTCTCTGATTAGGTCGAAGTTTATATATTTCAGTCGAAATTTCTATATATATATATTGGTTATCCGATTATGATGAATGAGATTCACTTTCTTATGGAAAATGCTGGCAAGTGGCAATTAACAAATTCCCAGCATTTTATGGTACTATTTGGATTTTGGAATTCATAATTATTTGGTCCTGTGCTTATTATTGAACTACTCTATGTTGCTCACATAACCACACTTTGTGATAAATGGTATAATTTACTAAGTGAAAGTTGTTCTAGCAATGCATTTATAGGTTACGTTTGTTAAGGGAATCATAAAGTTGTTCACTGCCTTAAATCTGGAAAAAGGGATACTATACAGTGTACTGCCTTCTTGACTTGATCAATTGCTGAGTGGATAGTGCTTTCGTATTTCAACAGCATTTGGTAGTTTACTTCATGCATTACATTTGTGTGCTTCCTTTATTGCTTTGTTGGTGTAGAGAATGTCTTGAGGCAGTAGCTGTTAGATGTTGTAAGATGTGTAGTCATATTTGTGTTCATGCCTTTCACTGGCGCCTCTTATGAGAATATTCGCATAATTTTGTCTGTTGTCATGTAAAGCTGCTGTAGCTTGTAAGCCATTCCTTTCTTCAGTTCAAATACTTTTGTGCTTTCAACTGGCTTCTGGTTTTCTTAGTTCATTTATCTGATGCATATATTTGCATAGTAGCACTTTTCAGAATAAACAAAATAAGCTTATGTATACACTTTCTTGCTGTTTCTGCTATTTTCTTATTCATGCACGTGCAAACTATATGCACAAACAATTATTATAGCCTTTCCATTAACGTGAACAATGGCTATGCTAAATGACATGCAATCCCCTCAACTCCGTCCCCTTATTCCTCTCTTCTTCTTTTTCTTTTTTGGAAGGGGCAGGAGGGGCTAGTAATGTATAGTTCCTTGAGATTAGTGTTAATGCTGTATTGTTCGGCAATTTCTTTAATATTAACAGTTATCAATTTCTGTCCTCTTATCTAATTGAATCAAACAAGGCCTTGTTGTGCTACAATCTGTGTTAGGTCTAAGTTGGACATTTTAACCAGGGTGTATACCATATACATTCCATCTCTTTTTACCCGATGTTTAGATTCTTTGTTTCATTTCACTCTATAGTTAACTCAGCATGTATCTTATAAATAGTTCTAATTTCTATTCAAGGATTACTATAAAATTTTGGAAGTTGATTATGATGCAACTGATGAGAAGATTAGGTTAAACTACCGGAAGCTTGCACTGGTCAGTGCTCTCTCTCTTGTTTTCCCTTTAACTCTTTTCATTTCTTGCCATTGATTCATGTATAGGTTTTTAAAATTTTGTTTCATTTAACAGTTCCTTTGTTTAAATATTATTGAGTTGACTGGAGAATGTCTTACGATGTTGCTACAGAAGTGGCATCCAGATAAGCACAAGGGTGATATTGCTGTTACTGCAAAGTTCCAAGAGATAAATGAAGCTTACAAAGGTAATTTTCATGCTTGGCTGTAACAAAAGATTCACATTCTATGAGCCATATGATTCCTGTTATGTATAAGTGCAATGTAATCAGTCACCCAATCATGGGATTTATAGTTCTCTGATGTAGGCTTTGCAAGAGCACATCACATTTAACTATGTATAAAATATAATGCTGATATCTTATGATCTTTTCTTGTCATTATACCCTTTTGCAGTGTTAATTGATCCTGATAAACGCTTTGAGTATGATTTAACTGGAATACATGAGATTGATAAGTATACTTTACGGGTAAGAATTTATGTCAACCTATATGGTATCATAGTCTGTAATTGTCAACTTACGTTTCTTTAGGTATAATTGGTTGATGCCAAATTCTAATGGTCTAGGAAACTCTGCAATTGTGATGCAGGAATATCTTGCCAGATTTAAGGGAATGATTCTTACTTGCAACGGGCTTGGTATTAGTCATACATCAATGTGGTAATTCTTTCGACTTATTTTTTTTTCTTTCTTTCTTTTGGTGGGAGAGGGTTGTAAGAGGCGATTATACATGTCATTAGAATGACTCTTTTTTTGTAAAACTTCTACGGAAAAGGATCATTCTCATATCTGCTTTACTAGAACTTCACCTCATCTCGGTGATGAGCCCTTTCTTAATATATATTAATCTTCTGAACACTAAAAGTGTTGAATTGCCAATAGCCGTGTGGTTTGTTGGTAGAGTGCTGGAGTCTTAATTTCACAGGATTCATTCCTTGACAACCTCAAAATTCCAAAAAAGAAAGTGTTGACTTAAGCAAATTTGAGTTTTGACAGACTATGATTGTTTTTATGCCTAGAGCAAAATATAAGAACTGAGCATATGGCACATAGTATGGTTTTTAACACTTTCCTACTGATGCTTATAAATATATATAAATCTCTAGTGTAGGTGTGTGATAGAATATAAAGGTAGATGTTGATATTAATATGGATGCCATGTGGAGAAGCACCTATATGAATCTAAAGTTTAGAGCTGTAGGGTGATAAAAATGATAAATTGCTATGAAATTGCAATGATGATCAAGGGCACAAATCGATATATGCTGAAACAAAGTCGTGTGTGTTGATATTCAGAGACTTCAACCCCTAATCAAATTTTTGGGCTTTAGGTTTGCAAAATAATTGCCTTATATGGCGTACTTATGAAGGTATTAAAACTTTGGAACTTCAGTTATGTTGACTTGTTTGCTCTGGTCTAAGGGTTTAGGGTTTAGTCTTATGAAGGTATTAATATGAATATGCATTTAATCTTTGATTTGTTTTCTTTTATATATATAGTTTTAATTGAAAGAGGGAAGAAAATGTAGGAAAAACAGTAGGTGTAGCATTTAATGATTTAAGACATAAATTTAACAACCATTTATGTAACTTATATGCTGCAAAATAGCAATGAAAGCTAAAACAGTATATGATGAAAAGGTTTAATGTTTGTTAGCTATAATAGAAATGAAAAATGCAAAGAGGTTGTAAGAGGCTGTGTTTTTGGAGATGTGACTTCTCATCTGAGTTTTCTTTAACAGATTATGGTTTGTCATTTGTTGCTAGCCTAAAAGTCTATGGGGGTAGGAGAAATGGTTTGAGTTAAAATGAGGGAGTGGTGGTAGGCTGATATGTCCAGCAATAGCACTTAGTTGTAATTTGGCACGATAATTATGCATTTCTCACAATCGATGAGACTATAGTATACAAAATTCCTCGTCTGGCAAAAGTGCACCTCTTAATGATTTTGAAGCTGCCTTATTGGTTGAATTGAAACTTGAAAGGTCGGTGGTGTGGTTGTACCCATAGAAATGGAATTGTGTGTGCTTCCTCTAGTTCTCTGTACGCTAAAGAGTGACAGAAATGTTCTATCTGCGGTGATGCTCAACTAAATAATTGATCTTAGAAACCTTTAAATATGGAGGTCTGGTTTGAACATCTTCGGATAGTGGCTATTCTATCCTAATCTTATCTTGAATGAACTTAAAATTTTTTTATCTTATTAACCCCCTTGTTAAAAGTACTTTTTCCTGCTATTTATAAGTTGTATCTTATTTTCCTTTTGCAAATTTCTTTATTAGTATAAATTTCATAATCCCATGAAGACAATATTTGATGGCTGTAATATGCTCTACATATTGAACCAACTTCAAAGTCAAGAACTTTTGTAGTTCACTATCACTATACAGTTCATGATCAGTGGAAGTGCTTGAAGTTCAAATTGTTTAAATGCTCGTTCTACCTGTTCCTCCTTCCAAATGCCCAAGCAGACCATAATTTTTTACCCTACGTTTCTCCCCTTCACTAGTTTGAATTTGATGGCAGTAACTTTATCACTGCCAGAAACTAGCTTCTCGGTCGATGATGCATTAGTTGATCCTAAACTAAAATTGATAGGAGTTTTACTGACTTCCTATTACAATTGTTTATGGTACTAATATCCTTGTACGTTAATGCAGGACACAGCAACTAACAGAAACAAATGAATTTGCTGATGATTAAGGTTAGCTCTTATCATTCATTACCGATTTCGAAGATTGCCTTGTTTTTTTTCTTAGTGACTCAGAAATATAGCTGAACTTTGACGTGCCAACGTCATACGATTGACAGGGCCACTGTATGAACTGAAAGGAATAATGATATCGATCTTTTTGAACTTATCGAAGCTGAAAATGCATCTCATCTTCTTTGTATTATTACACCTTCAATTATTGGCACAATCTCAATCGAAATTAGGCACATCATCGAGTAGAAGAGACTGTTCATGCTGATGTGAGATGTGTTTCAATGAGGCATGGTCTAGCTTGTATGAGTTTGATAGAGTAACCAAATGTATAATTGATTTAATAGTTTAGACATGGCATTACTGATACTGCCATCTTACCTATCTAAATTTATGTCGGGAGTTCTTTTCCATTGCATCTTCATTTCTTTCTGTTTGTTTCTTCAAATGACTGTACATTTGCCAAGTTTAATGCTAGAACATGATGTGATAATGTTGGAATGGTATACGATCACCAACAAAATTATATTCCATGAAAACTGAGTTTTTTTTTTAACTAGTCATAACTCTCTCTACTTGTTAATTTAATTTTATCAGTTGACCTGACAATTAAGATATAACATGAAAATGATACAAAAAACATATAAAAGTGACTCAATATTTCTATAATTTTGATCAAAAGTTTACTAGTTTGGTAAAAATAAAACTATGGGTTTCATGTTTAATGTATTAATATGAATTATAATATAATAATTTTATATTATATATATATATATATAAAACAATAAATAGATGTGATACGAATAAAAAAGACAATTCAATCTAAGGAATTTTGATTTAATTTGATTTTTTAGGTTTTTTTTTTTAAATTGAGTATCGGGTTGAATCGAATAATATAAAAAAAAATAGAGATTAGATCGGAGTCGAATTTTAAGTAAATTTAATCTTAAAATATTTAATATATATATAAAATTATTTTTTAAATTATTTATTTAATTTTATATTTATATGTTTATATTTATATTAAAAATAATATTTTATATTTTAAAAATAATATTTTATTAATTTTAAGTCCATCATATAATTTTATATAATATTAAATCAAATTAAATTCAAATTAAAAATAAAAAAAATATTATTAAATTAAATCAAATTTAAAAGAGCAAAAATTGTATTGATTTGATCCGTTGCTGTCACTAGATTCGAATAGAGTAAATGAGTTTCTTCAACGATCATGTTAGGGCAAAGCAAATATACAATCTGACGAGGATTGTGTATTTTTTGTCTGTTATTTTGTTTGTTTCTGATTTAGATGTCTGCTTTTTTTTTTTTGTTTCCCATAACCGAAGAAAAATGGTGTTGTTTTTGTCTGACTTATTGCTTTTGTCACTCGCAAAAAACCATCAGCTGAGTGTGAAAGCAACTGCCTGCCGCCCACTTGTCCACTTGTGTATGTACGTGTCATCCAAATGTGAAAACCATTGTTGTAAGTAAAGTAATAAATAATAAATTAATAAAATGGTAATAAAATTTTCAATAATTGCGGCTCCTTCACCTTATTAAATTAAATTGCGTGGTGGCATTTCGCCCGTCATATCCCAGAATCTTATAGACCCTACTGAAAAATAAATAAATAAATAAATTAATTTTAATAGTAAAAAAGAAACAATTATTCTAAAAAAAAAAAAAGTTTGGACCAAGTAGAAACAACAAGTTATGTTTAAATTTTATTTATATTTTTATGAAAAAAAAGATTATTATGATTCTAAATTTCCTTTTAAGTTCAAGTTTGTATAATTTTTTTTATTAATTTTTATTGCAAATTCGATCAATGAATTTATGTGAACATTAAAGATTGCAATTTTAATTAAAAAAAGTAATACTTAAAAATAGATTTTTTAATTCAAAAATTAATTTAATTAATTTATATAATTATATTTAAAATAATATTTAATAAATATAAAATATAAATTTTACGTCTATAATTTTTTAATTTTAAATTATGATATTTTTTATATAAAAATAAATAAATTTATATCTTGAAAGAGACGCCTTCATAAATATTTATAATTTAGTTGATGATTTATGCAACACAAAGCATAGATTCGAAGATAATAAATTATCATGAAATTTTAAAATAATTCAAAGAATATATGGAATCTCATACTTTTTAGAATCCCTAGGAAAGTTTTATATTTGGGGTTACAAAACAAAGCACAATTAAAAAAAAAAAACAAGAAAGTTAAGAAATATAATTAATAATTTAGGGGGAAAATGGAAGCATGAATTTTTAAGAATAGCATACAATGAAAAAGATGCCCTTTGGACATTGCGAAACAAGAAAGAATTAATTTTTTCGTAAGTTTAATTAAGAGAAATGTTAAAGCGTCCAACAATCTGATTATCTAATTATATATGAGAAATCTATGTTCATAAATTTATTATTTATTGCTTTTATGTCATTTGTAAATAATCGGATTGTTGAACAAAATTACATTACCCTAAAATTATTATGGTATGGAAATAATCGCTTTGACACTTTCAAGGTCTAAGTATGCTTCCTTGTTAAAGTTTGAAACTTATGTTAATAAAACACTTTGAAAGTTTCAAATTTTTATAGTCCTCATTAAACATTATCATTGAAATTTTTTAATTTCATAAATGAAATTAAAAAATTAACACATAAATGTATAAACTATAGAAGCACATATATAGTCGTATGTATAGATTAATTAATTAAAGAGAAAAAAATTTTAAAATGATACTTTTTATCAAAAATAGAAAAAAACTGAGTAAAGAAATATGTGACATCGATTAGGTTAAAACAAAGCACCATAAACTAGGAAAAAATTATTAGGAGTTAGGGCATGTTCCGATCGCACATTGTTAGGAATTTGTATAGCCTAATGCTACTTATAGTAAGAAGAATTTAAGGTGCGAAATCATTATTCTTTGTATATGTGAATAGTATTGTATATATAAATAGTGATAGACTCTTTACCATTCGAATTTATCTTAACAAAAATATTAAACAGCAATAGAGAACATAAAGAACACCGATAACATACGTGATTCAGCATTATGCTTAAGTCCACGAGCACTGCAAAGAAAACAATCACTATTAAAGAACGAAAATTACAATGGCTACACTAACCCCAAACATGCAACATTTTAACAAGCACTCACTCTCTAAGATTATATAAGTGTTTCCCACATAGACACTACAAACCTCAAAATATACCATCACTCTTTAACTATATAACACACGTATTTTAAAATTTCTTTTGGTAATCTCTCCGGGCTTTTCAAGCCATTTTCAGGCATCCTACGCACATTTTAACTTTTGCACCTTTAGCCTATTTATATGCAAAATTTTTTGCGTTTATTGTAGCAATTTACTATCACTGTAACAGCGACGGTACTGTAGCACGTAGTGTACATGTCAAAAGTTATTGCGCCAAAATTTTCACAAAATTCTAGATATTCTATCTTTCTAACTTTTCAACGGTACTGTAATAAGCGGTGATTCAATAGCACAAGTCAAAAAATATATATTTTATATTTGCTAAAATTTTTTAGTCATTTCTCAACAATCTCCACATTGATTTGAAAATTTTGTCAAGCTAATTTCTTTGAGATAAATTTTTCTTATCATCAAAAGAAAAAAAAACATAAAGATACCTCATTACCACACATTGTCATATGCTCCACCTTTTTGCTCACACCTGTTCTAACTTTGTAAACAACTCTTTAACTACTCCATTGATCTTACACCATCTCATCACGTCTTCCCCGAGCTAATGAAGAATTTAACATTATACCTTATAACACCCAATGTGTACTCATGAGTTTTACCATTTTTACTCTCAAGCTTACCATCATCGCTTGAATCAAGAAACCACAATGATGTTTATTAAGACTCAAACTAATCTTTAGAGTTCGAATAAACCTTACATTAGATGGCATACCAACTAATAATATAATAAGAAACAAGTAGCTTTCACTTTATCACTTAGCAAAAAAATCAAAAGTAAAATTAACATGGCATAATTTTGCTTTAATCAGAGAGAAGCATTCCATTTTGCAACTATTGTGTTACATTAGTATTTTGCTGACAGTGTGATTTTTCACAACACAATTCATGTAAAATTTTTCTCCAATCTTTCTCTATACAAACCATGGACTTAGTGCACAATTGGTAGTCTTCCTACAAAATCCAAAAAATTACCTAAAGGCATGGAATGCAAACACTCTTCTTATAAAACAATTGAATACTTATTCAATAAACCATCTTGTGGCAAACCTTTACAGATGTAACTTGAGATTAACACATATAACTTGAACTTACCATGCCTTTGTAACTAGTAAGATCGAATCTCAACTATGATGAATCACCAACATTAGTTTTGCATGACATAGCCATACACAATGCTTCTATTAGGTTAACTCCCCCTTAAACAACAACATCTAAACCGATTTAAACTCTCATTCATTGCTAACACCCTTATTGGATACAAACCTTTCTCATTTTGATGTAGAATTTGCTGCTAACATTCTATCCCATGCAAAAGAATCTTCAAAAGCACCAAAATAATGTTTGGCCTCTTATACCACTTGTTAGAATCAAGGCATGCTCTGATCTCATTTTGTCAGGAATCAATATAGCCTAATGCCATTTATAACGAGAAGAATTCAAAGTGTGGAACCACCATTCTTTGTATACATGAACAATACAATATACGTGAACAATGATAGATTCTTCACCATTCGGATTTACTTTCACAAAAATATTAAACAGCAACAACTAACATAGAAAACACCAATAATATACATGGTTCGACATTATTCCTACATCCACAAGCACTACAAAAAAAAAATAATCATTATATAAAAAAAAAAACAGAGATTACAATAGCTACACTAACCCCAAACATGCACTATTTCAACAAGCACTCACTCTCCGAGATTATACAAGTACTTTCCACTATCCTAAGATAGACACTATAAACCTCAAAATACATTACCATTTCAACAAGTATTCACTCATCGAGATTATATAAGTGCTTCCATTATCTTAAGATAAACATTATAAAACCCAAAATATACCATCACTCTTGAATTACATGACACATCTTTTTTGACACTTCTTTTGGTGCTCATACCCTGCTTTTTAAACCATTTTTAAGCATTCAGGGACATTTCAGCTTTTGCACTTTCAACTTATTCATAGGAAAAATTTTTTGTGTTTACTGTAACAGTCTATTGTCACAGTAGCAATCTATGGTTACTGTAGCCGCAGCAGTACTATAACACGAGATACACATATCAAAAGTTATTGCATTGAATTTTTCACAAAATTCTAGGTATTTTATCTTTTCAACTTTTCAACGATACTATAGCAAGCGATAATACTATAACACAAATAAAAAAAATACATATTCCGCATTTGTTAGAACTTTTTAATCATTTCTTGACAAAAATCCATTTCCAATTCTATATATAATTAAGTAATACATTGTTTAGCTAACAAATGGGGGAGCTTTTACGAGTATCCATAGGATTATTACAAAGTCATTGTCTTATTGAAGATAGAAAGAGCCAATAGCCTTAGGGAATATGAAAGGAAAAGAATCTCTTCGGTCTTGTTTTCAATTGTAAGGTTCGAAGCGTATGCGCTCATGAAAGAGTCAACTTTTTCTTTTTTTTCTTTTTTTTTTTTTACAAAAGACATTAATTAATTTGAAAATAAGAAACGACATTACAAATATTTAAATTTAAATGTCAAATGACATCTTTTAATAATAGACATATGAATGAATTTTGTCTTTTTCTTTTTTGTTTTTAACTTTCTTTTACCAATCAATAATAATAATAATATAGAAAATAATGACAATATTGTAAAAGAATGCTGAAAATTTTCCATATCTTGCAGAATATACGGATATATATGATGGACCTATTTTAATTTAATTCAGTCAAACTGCATTTGGAGGCTAAAATTTTGGACCTAAACATTAGAACTTGGTAGTGAAATGAATTTTTCTTTGAAGTTTTTAAACTGAAATGTTCACCATGAAAAACCTACCCATGCAAAATTTATAATAAAAAATAAATGCCAACAATTTGGAGAAAATTCAATCTTTTTCTCATCTGGAATTTCTTCACTATTCCAAAATTACACTATCACCAAGAAAAAACCCAAACCGTTGAAAATATCGTAACAAAATACAAACATTACAACATCCAAATTTTATTTCAATTTATTTTATGAATTAATCAGAAGGAGAAGAAATAAAAATCCTTATATGATCCAAGAAACTGAGATTTTGAGGCCTATCTTTTCTTTTCACATAACCTTTGGCTTCTTTCTCCGAATATATCCAAAACCCTTTCCTTCCATTCCTCTCCCACATCTCCTTCTCGTAGCTCTTGTGTGCGTAATACGCCTCCGCCGCGCACGTTAGGTCCCCGGAGCACGTTAACAACTCTTCCTTGTTCTCTTTGTTCCCGCTTTCGTTCCCATCGGAGGCTGGCATCAGCTGAATGGGCAGCCGCTCGTAATGCCCCCGACTCGTGCCTTCCAACTCGTCGACGCGGGCGAGTCCCCGAGCCGACACGGCGTACAACTCGCCCGTGACTCTGTGCCCCGAACCGGGCATGTTGAGGAGGAAAGGCACGCGGTAGGGCCCGCAAACGAGAGGGTATTTCTCTACGGTTTGGTAGGTGCCTTTGAAAACGGCGTCCCCGGTTCGCATCAAATCTTGAAGAAGCACGTGATTGGAAAAGCCCCGTTTCAAGGTACCGTACGTGAAAATGAGGTTCACACAACTATCGTTGTCGATACCCATTATCTTTCTTTCTCTCTTGCAATGATGAAATGGGTGTGGTGGTGTTTGGTTGAGTAGAAAGTGAGGGAAAACGGAAGGGAAAAATAGAGGATTTGGAAATGGTGGTTGAGTGAGGTGTTCTATTTATAGAAGGATGCCCGTTTGATTGGTTATGAATTTTAACCGTTAAAATTTCTCTCCCAGGAATGTACGGAGGGTGAAATCAGTAAAAAAAATGCAAATGGTAAAATTTGTAGTTGCTGCCAGATGCACATGCAATCCCCATCAAACGATTTACACAACGTTCCGTACGAGCTGATTTCGTTTAGATTTTTTTTATCCTATACATACAACTTTTTTTATTCTAATACGACACCGCGTACAACATCTTTCACGAACTACAAGATGGTGTTAACAATTATTTTGTTCAACGAAAACCCTTTTGTTTCTTTTTGTCCACACGTCATAAATAAAAGCATTTCAAGCAATTTTAAAAATGACAATCATAAAAGATTTATAATTAAAATTAAATTTAATAATTTAAAATATGATAATAAAATATAAAAATGATATAAATAAAAATATAAAATAATATAATTTAAAATTTAAAAAAAATTAACAAAATTAATAAAATATATTTTATATTTTTATATTAATATAAATTATAATATATACTTTTTATATAAAATATGATATAAATATAATATTTTATATTACATGATAACATGAATACAAAGAGATTCGTTTGGCCAGTTTCGTTAAAAAAAGACAATGGAGTAACTCCGGCTAACCAGTTTGACTGTGATGTCAAAGAACTGAAGGAGTTAATTTTGAAAGCAGGAGACGTGAAGGCAAGGCCCGTGTGAAGTGTGGATGTTACCCAAATGATGAGTAACGGCGCTCTTTCATTATCAGTTCCAATGGGCTACTTGGCGTTGGCGGTGTGTCTCTGATAAAGACAAAACAACAAGCATAAACAGAGTTGATTGTTGATAACTCATTACTTCCAACTCAAAAACACACAGATTCAATTCTTCAACGGTATTAGGCCCCACAACACGTTATATCAGAGTAGGTAAATGAATACATATATTTCTCTTCAAAATTATTGAAAATAATTGCAGAACTTAACCTTGTGAATTATGGGGTTGATGAAGACCCGCAAATTGCTCCATGATAGAAAAAAAAAAGGTACTTAAAAACAGAAAGAAAAAGAAGTCTTGGTTTCAAATTGCTACCGTTCATGAAAAATGGCATTTCCAGTATTTGTTCTGCATCAAGGCTGGTTCAGTCGATCCCTTTTATCATACAGGCTACGAAGTTACTGGTGGAACTGAATATGGCTGCGGTTGTGGAAAACATCGATCATCCCCACATCAGTGCATGGACAAATGCCAAAGCATGAAAAAACTGAAGATCAGCAAACCGCAGATTGGCTCAATCATTAAGATTGTTCCATGTCAAAAGTGAATTATATTACATAAACTATCTTAATTGTATCCATATATGATATTTCTAAAAATTTTTAATTTTAAATAAGAATGAGAGTTAATATGTGAAATATTGTTAATGTAATTTTTTAATTTTATAAACGAAATTAAAAAATTGATACATGTTCGAATTTTTTCATTAATTTTTATTTTTTAAAATATAGTTTAAAAGATATATGTATCATCTTATTAATCTCGTTTATAAAATTTAAAAATTTTATTAAATAAAATAATTTTTCATAAGTATAATACTTAAATCATCCAAATTATTAATGTAAAAACTTATAAAAAAACATGTGAGAAAAGTTGGTTTATGTAAGGATTAATGAACTGCATCAGCTATGAGGTATTATTTGTTCTGAAAATCCGATCATTTGTCTTCCCAATATCCGAAAATCCGCAAATTGCTGTTTCTTGAATAATAAAATTACAATTTATCCAAAAAAAATAAAAAAGAAAACCCTGTCGGCCGTGACCGTCAAAGATGGGCTCAGCAATTTGCTTCAATAGTAGGCCCAAAGTAAACACAAACTAACAATTTTTAACGGCCATTCTCATACTTCACCATCATCACTTCCAGATTCTTCCTCGTTGGATAGCCTTACAAGCAAGGTCAGTCGGCTCTAATTAAACAAACCATGCCGATTCTTTACCGAATTAATAATCTTCTCACCGAGTTTGTTCGGATCCAACTCGGTATTAACTAAATCGATCAATTGTAATAACCCCCCTTTAAGAAAAAAAAAAAAAACCTCTATTCTATGCAATTGACATATAATTTTTGTACATATCAATTTTTTAGACTCATTGGGTCTTGTCATGAGGTGTTAACGTATATTGAATTTTTGGCTTGTATTACATTCAAGATGAAAATTTTGTAAATTCAATATAAATTTTTATTAAGATAATCGTCATTCTAAAATAAATTAATCTCTCTTTACATAAACTTCTAGGTAAAATTTTTTTTTTCCTCTCATTAATTATCTACAGTTTAAATCTGACAAGTCTTCAATTGCTAAAATAATTCAGTAATAAATTTTTTTGAAAGGACAGATATTGACAAGCAAAATATTTTTCATTTCATGACAGATGACTACCTGATGTTTAATAACTAAACAACCAATTTTATTTTGGCCAAAAAAAATTAAAAAAAAAAAAAGTTGAAAACATAAAGTAGGCATGAGCATGGTCACGGCCATACCCATACGGTACCCATGCTTGCGTGTATGTATTTATCTAGCACGTAGAAAAGCGACGTTTTATACACAAAATTAAGAAAAAAGTAGGCAGGCAGATACAGAGATTACATGAGAGTGGATTGATTCTAAGATTGTACTGATTCAGCTTTATTATAGTGTCAGTGATAGTTCAAGTAATTTAGCAAAACATTTATTAAAAACATAAATACATTGCACAAATTTCTTTTTTAAAAAAATTATACGTTAATTCTACATAAACAAAAGTATTTTTTGTTGATTTTTTATTTGAATTATAAAATTAAAAAATAATATTTTTTATTATTTAACATTGAGATTGAATCAAACCAACTTTTAAACTCAAAAGCTACTTTTAAAAGTAATGTTAAACTATAATTTTTTTTTCTCTATTTCAGTTCTGCACCAACCTTGCTGGGTGAGAATCATGCAACCTTTTTTAAAAATTTATTCTCTCTAAATAAATCTCTTAGCATTAGTGCATTAGAAATATGCATAATCAGTGATAAACCCCAAATGAATTAATCCAATTAACAAAGAGAAACACACTTTATTTTTTATCAGCTAAAACTTGAATTTTGTGTAAAGTATTTCAAAATTAATTAACTATGAACTCATCATCCTAAGATGACAAGTACATTTTTATAAGATATTTAAAAAAAGAAGATTAAATTTAGGTAAAACTTATAAATTATTCTTAAACATGTTATAAAAAAATATTTGAGTGATAAATTTAAAAATTAAGAATATAATTTTATATTTAAATTTTAACAGTTTCCTTGTTTATAAATGTTTTTAATTTTTATTATTTATCTTGAATTAATTTTTTTACCTTTTACTTTTTATTTTTTTAAATTAAAAGGTATTCATCTAACAAAACTTTAATAATAGACGTGATGCAAAATATTTAATATATCATTTTTTTTTCCCATGCATGCACCAACAACTCATATCATCTTCAAGAGCTTTCTAAAGGGAAATATTTTTTATAATTAAGATTATCAACATTAATCCTTAATCAATAAAATTAAAAAATTTAATATTTTAACAATAAATCACATCTGCTGGAAAAAAAAAATATTTGTTTCTATATTATATAAGCAATTGAGATGGCAATTCCAAAGGCCTAACTTTTAACCTCACCATGCAGATTTATGAACCATATCTTATACTACACGTCCAACACATGGCATTTTCATCCTCCTTGTATTACAGCTGATTCATTAGTTTTCCACGTGTCAAAATCTCTCGCCTCCACATTTCTTCGTTAGAAAGAACCCTATTCAAAGCCCTCGAATTGCAGCCGACCCCTGTACAAGTAAAAATACGTGAATTAAAAAAATCCGTAAAAAATAAATGAAAATTAAAAAAAAAAATTTAATAAGTACCTTGAAATAATGGCATCTAATATTTTTTGCTTTAGGCTCGGATAGAGGTTCGGTTGAAGACTTTAAGCCAAAGATGCCCCATCCACCACCCACCACTACAAAGCAACCCCACTTCCTTTTTTCTTCTTCTCTCCTTTTTTCTCAAGGAAAAAAAAAGTTTTGCAAGAAAGTTCATCTTTTTTCTTTCTGCTCTAAATGATAAATATTGATCAAGAAACAATTGTTAGAGAAATCAAACAAAAAAGCAGAAGAATCATGGTTAGTATTTGATTCTAATGATATTATTATTGAGATGATGATGATGATGATGATGATGTTGATGATGATTTTGTTAATTTGATGATGAATAAATTTGGGTTCTAATTTAGGGAGGAGGAGGTCCAGATGATGATGATGATAAAGAGGATGTGAAGTGGCCGCCATGGCTGCGACCACTGCTTCAAACAAGCTTTTTTGTTCAATGCAAGCTCCATGCTGATGCTCATAAGAGTGAATGCAATATGTATTGCTTGGATTGCATGAATGGTTCTCTTTGTTCTCTTTGCCTTGCTTATCACAAAGACCATAGAGCTATTCAGGTAAGTTCCTATTTCTTTTTTTTCTTAACTCTGGTGAAGGAAAAGATAGAATAGAAGAGAGAGAGAGACAGAGAGAGGGGAAGAAATGTTTTGTTTTATAAGATTTTTTTGCCTAAAATTTTGGGTTGTAAACTGATGAGAATCTGTTTGAGTAACATATTCCATTATCGGAAGTAATCTGTCTTTGATTGTAGGAACAAAATTATATGAATTTGCATTGGTTTCAGCAATGTCATGTGCCTTTTTCCTTGGGGGGCTAGAGAAAAAGGCAGCAAGGCAATTGCTTTTTCCTTTTTTTTTCAATAGTCAATACAACTATTTGATACAGCATGAAGCCCTTGTCGATTATTTTCATTCATTTGACCAAATTTTTTGCTAAAATTTTGAGATGGAATTTTGCTGCAGATAAGGAGATCTTCATACCATGATGTGATAAGGGTTTCTGAGATTCAGAAATACTTAGACATAACAGGAATTCAGACCTACATTATTAACAGTGCCAGGATTGTTTTCTTGAATGAAAGGCCACAGCCTAGGCCTGGCAAAGGTGTCACCAATACCTGCCAAGTTTGTGAGCGTAGCCTCCTTGATTCCTTCAGCTTCTGTTCTCTTGGTTGCAAGGTAATTAATCCACATTTATCATTTATATTCCCCTAATTTTCTCCAACAAAAAATGGAGTTTTCATCAATTTTTTTACCCCATTTCCATTTATCTTCCATCCTAACATTTTTATGTCTGTAATTGAATTTATTTCAGATTGCTGGGACATCCAAAAACTTCATCAAGAGAAAGAAAATGTCTAGGGAAACGGACGGGTCAGATGCTGAGTCATTGAATGGTGTTAGCAATGGGAGTACAAAGAGCAAACGACAAAGCTTTACGCCGTCGACGCCACCGCCAACAGCCGTGAATTACAGGAGTGCAAAGAGGAGAAAGGGAGTTCCTCATCGAGCTCCTATGGGAGGTCTCATTATAGAATACTAATCATAGTCCTTTTTCTCTCAACCGATACAGCACGCCAATGTCAACATCTGAGCCTCGTGCCTTTGAGGCCGGTGTTGGTAACCAAATTATGCCAATCTTATATTGTACAGAGAAATGGGCAAAAAAACAAAAAAAGAAAAAGAAAAGAAAAACCATAATAAAAAAAAATAATGAAAATGAAGGCAAAAAAGAGATATTAGATCAGACTTTAAGATCAATAGCTTGATATGTAGGCTTTTACACTGTTTTTTACAGAACTTTTTATTATATTGTGGGGTTTAAACTGTGTATATATTTATATATAGAAGTTGCATGTATTATAAGAGAAAAATGTACTGTAAAAAATGAAATGAATGGAGTGAATGGACAATTTATATGGTACTGTTCCTACTGCTGTGATGACATTCCTGTCTATGTGAAAGTACTGATCTTTTGCGAGGACACTGCCACTCAAAGCTTCTATTAAAGAGAGAAAAAAAAAAAGTCTCAAACGCGACCAAAGGGCGCGTTGGAGTGGATTTTGCAGGGTAAATTCTGGTGCTATTTGTTGTTGAATGAAATTACTATGAATTATAATTTTTTTTTTCTTTTGAATAGTTTCAACACGTTTTCTCTCAAGCTAGTGTTGCTATACTACTGTAAAGTTTCGTTTTTTTCTTTTTTTTTTTTTCCTTTGAAAATGTGGTGAAATTTTTGCTTCATTTGGCATTTGGTAGTTGACGGTAAGGGATTAGAGATTAGTTAGGGGGCAAATGTCTTGACAGCATGAAGAGGAAGTGAAATTTGGATGTCAAATCACAGTTTTTTACATAGTTGATGTCTTTCCATTAAAATTCCTTGAATTAAATAAATAAGGGTTTCATCTGATTAAATATTGGTTTGGTGGTTTGATTTATTTGTTGATTTTTTTCTTGATGTATGTTGAAGATTGTTGATGGAACTGTTTTTCTTTGTCAATTTATGTATATGAAAAATATTTTAAGAATAAAATTTTAAATGTATCAAATTAATATTAAAAAATTTTGAATATGCATAAAATCAATATGAAAAAATAAATTTTAAAACCGATTCGAAAAAAGATTAAATTTCATGTAAATTTCGAAAATATCTCTAATAATATTAAAAAATTATTATAATTGTAATTTATATTAATACATGGAATTCATGAAAAAAAAATTCTTAAAACACCTTAGTTGTTCAAATCTGTGAAGATGAAAATGGAAACAAAAAGTCAATTAAGGCTGAATTAATAAGATTGGGAAACCATCTCTTTGAATTGATATCAAACAACTCCGATTTGATTTAACAATTACAAACAACACCCATAATACAATATTTAATTAATTAAGGATATATTTAGTGTATAAGGTAATGGATAAGATATAATAATAATCATATTATATTATGTTTAGTTTGTATATATATAAAAAAGATAATATTACAATGAGGAATAATTATTCTTTTGCAATAAGATGATTCAATTATTTTAAAATGGAGAAGATTATTTTTAATTCATGAGATTGAACTTATATATCATATTATACCCTTAAAACTTTCATTAATAATTTAAATTATATAAACTTTAGGAAAACATCATTTTAACAAATAAATAAATTATCTTATTCTAATTTTGCACAAATCAAAATAATATATTATGATATTATTTAATCTAATTCTATTTATAATATTATTTTATCGTATCTTATCATAATTTTATATACCAAATGCATGTTAAACTTTTAATGGTAGCATCAATAAGATAAATTAGCATGTAATGCATTTGGTAACCAAATTGTGATATTGGAATTTATTAAAAGATTTGGTCCAGAGAGCTTTCAAGGATAGTTCTTATTATTTATATGCATAATTATATAATAAACACATTTGATATATATAAGGAGGGATTAACTTATATTAGTATAAAATTTTTTAATTTTACATATTTTTCTAATCATTGATTTAATAGATTCAATAAATGAGACTAAACTTTTTTTTTTTTTACTTATTTCTCTCATCTCTTAGATCTATATAAATTAATGACTACGAAAATGTAAAATTCAAAAATTTTATACTGATATAAATTGATCATACCCCTTGATATATTTGTTATTACAAAAAAAAACTAACAAATATATCAAATTGAACAATTGTTACACTTTTAATTTTGCTTAATTTTCCTTTTATTTTAAGTGAATGTACCCAAGTGCTAGGCTTAAATGTCCATAAGTTTTAAGAAAGAACATAAAAAGTAGTATCATTATTTCTTTTATAAAAAAGGTTTTAATTTGGGAATAAGGGAAATGGATTACGAATGTCGATATTTAAATTTTAAATCTATTGAATGTCATATTTGAAATATAATTATATAAATTAATTAAATTAAATTTCGAGTTTAAAAACAACATTTAATATAATTCTATTTAAACCTATAGTTTTATGAAAAGATGACACGTATCAACTTTATAGATAAACTAATTTTTTATTTTTAGAAAAATTTTTCTATTTGTTTGACCGTAAAATTCCACAAACTAGTTTGACTTTTCAACTTGCAAATTAAAACTCTATAATTATCCAAGAAAATATTCAAATCAATAAGTATTTAATTCCAGCAGTTATCGATTTCTTCACCCCATTGTCACAATTAATCCATTTATTGAATGAAAAAGAAATGAAAAGTTTAATTCATTAAACATAAAAACGATGAAATCTCTTTTTCTTCCTTATCTAATTATTTTCCTGTCAATCCATTTAATGTTAGTAATCTTCCAAAAATCTTTATAACAAAACTTAAAAAAAAAAAAATCAATTACTCTTTATTTATTTTTTAGTTTTCATCCAGATTTTGCTTTTCTAAAAAAACATTCGCTGATTTGTAAATTTTTTTTTATTATTTTATTTAAACTCATATGATTTATTGATGAATATACTTACTAATTTACAATTCTTTTTTCCATGACCCATTAGTTAAAAGACCTAGCTTACAAATTTGAAAGGTATTAAAAGGATTTGATTATGAATTTGTTGATTCGTGCTGCAAAATTCTCAATCAATTTCAATTCTTTTTTTTTATTATTATTGTTCATGATGGATTTTCATATTTGTTATTAGAAAGTTTAATATTTCACAAGTAAATAAAACAAGTACATATAAATATATTTTAATATTTTTAATTGTTCTTATTATTGAACCGTAACAACACAGGATACTACCTAATTTTTTATTATTATTGTCACCAAAGATATGTATTTACATGTCATGGCTGCTTTAATTTCCAAAAGAAGGATTACCAATTTTTTATCGCTATCATTTAACAGCCTCCAATTTGTGTTGTTGCATTTGGTGTTACCAATAGTAAATGATGAGGCTAAACCTAAAGTTCAAGTTATTTTCTTAAAAAGAATTAATTTTTTTTTAAACAAAAGTCACTCACTAGGAATACTTTTAACATTGCTCTTGATATTTCAATTGTTCATTTGTGCAATTTTTCAAATTCCAAAAATGTTTGTTAATTTCTTAAGTATAAGAACTCATAACATTTTTGTTTACTTTTTGAAATTTTAATTCCTTTTTCCTTGGAATGATTAAATCTTCAATATTTTCCAAATTTCATAACTTTTTTAGATTTTTTACTCAATAAAAATTTTCTTAATTTTTTATATTACTGTCTTTCATAAAAGATTAATAGTAACTACTAGTAAAATTATTTGTAATTTTCATGTATTATCATTCCTCGAATGTTCATTTAAAGTGTAGTGAAATGGTAAGTAAACAATATTAGGATTAAAGTTCAAAATCTATGCTCACAAAATGATAGTAAACAATTTCAAAAAAATAAAATATAAGGAATAAATAAAATTTATAATAGTTAACTCTCAATATGAGGGTTACATCCACTTATAATGACTATAAATTTTCATTATAATAAAAGAGAGATTACAAACAAGATTATATAATCTCAAGTTGGCGACTCTTCTAATATATACACATATGAAAATTCTAAAATAATCTTACTAATTGTTGATGTGTTTTAGGGGACATTGAGTTTAGGAGTTCTGATGATGACATGAAATGTGGTTTAGAAAAGCTTTGGTTTTACAACATGAAAGCACAATTAGAGAGTGTTGGAGTTAGTTTTTTAGAACATATTTCAACGTTCAAGTTAGTCAAGTGTCTGAGATTAAGGTTGGAGGAAGAAAAGGATAAGTAGCAAAAACTATTGAGTAAGCTTGAGGAATAAAAATTCATAATCCTATACCTGGATCTGCTACCTTATATATGAGATTATGGACAACGATGTGATCAAAGTTGGTGACATTTTATGAAAAGTTCATCTGAGCTTGAAAAAGATCTGCGTAGATGAATGTGAGCTGTATTTAACGATTTTAGAATAATATGACCTACATTTAATAATTTTAGATAAATTAAAAAAAATTGATTTATTATGAGATAATGCGTTGATATGATAGTAGTGGTAATAATTAAATGAGCTCTTTTCATAGATAAAAAGATAAAGACTAGCTCATACTATAGCAAAGAATCTAAATATCGATTGTTTTTAATAGTAATGTGATAGTCAAATGTATATTTTACTTAACGAACATGAAGGTTGACATTATTTACTAAATGAATATTTATAACACTAATAATACTTTTACATAAAAATTTAGTTTAGAGAACTTGAAGCCCTATACTTGAGGAGGGAGATTTACCATCTATTTCCAACTCCATTTAGATCTTATCACAAAAGTCCATTTGTGTTTTGATTTTCATAGGAACAATCAACATTAAAAAAAATAATTAGACTCCACACATTTTATCAAATAAGACGAGGGAAGGAGAAATAAAAAAACAATACCAATTTGTCTAATAAAGATTTTTTTTCTAAAAAATACTTTTTGATGATGGGGAAGTTGAATAAGAATTTAAGTGTTTGTGTTCAAACGATACACGTAAGTAATTTAACAATATTTGCAATTCCCTTCAAACTTCTAAAATTATTAAAATTTTAAATTACAAAATGAACCCCACCAAATTTAAAATTAGAATTCCATGCAATTTCTGGTAAGCTGTTGACATTGACACATGTTTTGTCTTTTTCACCGGTAATACCGGTAAAGGCAATTTTTTATTTTAATTTTTTAATTTTTTTTCAATAGCGTTTTTTTCTAAAAAAAAAAAATCGTAATTTTA